TGCTATATAAAAAAAATTTAACTAAAAACAAAGTCTACCAACCGAAACAGAAAACAATGTTTATAAAGAATATAAAATAATATCAATATTTCCTTGAAAGTGTCATCATAAAACAAAATATCTATAGTATTCAACAAGACTATTCAAAGAAACAGATTGAGCACCTCCACATTCTGGAGAATATCATTAAGTTTTTGATTTTGACTTTTCTTTCTTCAAAAAAATAAAAATAAAATGGAAACATATGCAAGTGGGTTGGGTCGGTTAACCATGGTTTAAGGCTTTAAACAATGACCAAATCGAAACACCATGGTTTTGTTTAAAATAAAACCAAACCAAACCAAACCAAATCAATAACTATGTCAAATCGACCCAAACCGACCCGAGTCGATTTGGTTTGGTCGATTTGGTCGATTTTTCCATTTTTTTGCCCACGCCAACTTACCCCTCTTCTCGGTGTACTATCGCCTGTTTTAATTTTTGTAACAATAGATAGAAGGGGGAAGGGGAAAATCTGCCAAGGGTTTTGTTTTTTTCTTGGCGTTGCACTAAAAACTGGGAGCAGTCCACAGTGAAGGAGAGGCTCTTGACACCCATTTATCTTGTGTTGGAGCGGTTTCTCTAAGAGGATAAGTCATCTTCTTCTTCATCAAACTTGGAAGGTAATATCCGATTTATTTGTGTAAAATCAGGTTTTAAATTTATTGGGCTTTATTTGTTGATTTTACACTCGATTGGATTGTTTTGAATGATTTAATTTTAACACAACCTCGATCTAAGATTCCGTCCATATTTATAATTAAATTTTTTCCCCAAATTTTTTGTTTATTGATGGTAATTTTCTTCACGCAACAGCAATTTTCTCGACAATGTCCCTCTTAGAATTTTAATGTGTTTGTTTATGGTTTTCTCCTTGCCTTTGGACCCGTCGCCCCTCATTTGTGAAATACACATGGCCAAAATCCAGTGGTTCCAATAGACCCCAGGTGGCTCCGGCCCCGGACATGACAATGGGAGCATAGAATGTGATCGTTTCTTGCACGATTTAGGATTTTTGTGTTTATGGTTACTCTCATTTCCCCCTCCGCAGCATATTTACCTGGGCAAACTAGTTTTGCTCCCCAGTTTTTGTAGGTAGGAGGAAAAGTATTCTATGAGGAAAGAGGCGTTAAAACACACTGAACTAACCTGAAACCGTGTTGGATCGGAAGAGGCACTTTCTTGGATAACTTGGCATACAATCAAAATGTATCCAGTTGTTGCAAATGGTTGCTAAGAGACATTGATCTTAACGTGCATGTCTTTCTAGCTATCCTTTTCAAAATGAGGATGCTGTCATGTTAATGAGATATGCTTTAAACATTCTCAAAGATGTACTAAAATGCACTGAGCATGTTAGTTACGGGCACTGATAAAGTAATTATGAAGTAAAATCTTCTCCCTTTCAAAATAGGACTTGAATTCCCTTCCATCTAGTTCAAGTGTGCATACCCTATAATGTAGAGTAGGAGAATGACGAAATTGGGGGACCAAAGAAAATGATTGCTATTGTCATGGGAGCCATGTTAAACAAAGTCGATGAAAACACCCTTCTTTATCCCTTCCCAAAAGTTCTATGAGAGCAGATTGTGAACAGGAAGAGTGAGGGCTGCTTAGTCATTTGGAAGAAGCAAGCCATCAATATTTCTTTTCTTGGAAGTTGACATGTATTTGGCTGGCATGCATCGAAGTCATGCTAGCCATTGCTAGGGCATGAGCCAAGTTGATAAGCACATGCCACGGACCTCATTGGTGTGTATTTATAATTTTATAAACTTCATATTCTGAAAGGTGATAGGAAGTGTCAGTATGTGCAAGCTTCAAACCAAGAGCATCAAAAATGTAATGAACCTTTAGAATTCAGGTTGTACTGACCTCGGATGTCTTAAATAGTATAATATGCCATAACTTGAAGCAATAGAAGGAAATCTTTCATTGGATGTATGCTTTCTGAGTTCATTAGGTGTTTCCTTATTACTATGCTTATAGGCAAACGTGTACTACAATGTTTATTAATCTGATTACCTTAACCTTCAATGGTTTACAGATATTTTGATGATTTTAAATAATCTTGATTGCTTATCCTATTGTAACTATAAGGTTCTTTTCTCGAAGAAATCACAAAACATCTGTTCATTTTATGGTTTTTGCAGTTTTTTCGAAGTTAAATAATGCTGAACTCATGTTTCCTTATGCTCTTTCATTCATTTATTTTTGCCCATTTTAGATTTCTTCGTACTTCTTTAGTAGTGAGTGTTTGGCTGTTAAATGACAATTTCAGTAAGATGACTCAACAGAAATGAGGATATTAAGATGGATGTGTGCCCATATTAGAATTGGATAAGGTAAAAAACGAGATATACTGCGATACCAATTGAGGGTAAATTAAGGATGACTTTGGTGGTTGGGCATTTCTGAATATACCTAATGAAACTCCATTTTTCAAGAGTATATGATCTCAGCAGCATGTTAGAAGAGGGAGAGATAGACCGAAATTAACATGGTTTGATGAGGTTGCGAGGGATTTGGTAGCATTGAATTTTTAGTATATGTAGTGATGAATCAAATTTGAGTAGTAAAAAAGATTAATGTAGCCAGCCAACTCCAAATTTATTAGGAATAAAACTTAGTATGTTATCTTGTGGCTTTGCTTGTACCATAATCATATCATTTTGTTTTCAAACCTTTTTCTCTAAATCCTAAAATTAAGAATTTGATTTTAAATCTGTCGTTTTTTATTACGTCACTATAAATTCATTGTATATTTCCATGTTAACTCTCGGATGTTTGTTAATATATCGTTAGGGGATGTAGTAAACCAGGCGGTTTGTGAAAGCTTGTGTTTTGGCTTGCATAGTGATAGGACTCAATGGGAAGAAAGGAAGACAGAAAATTTATTATAAAGCTTTTTATAGAACTGCAGAGAATTACAGAACAAAAGAAAATAACTAGACTCTCCTTTCACTCACTTTTTACTTGCTTGTGTTCTTCCATTCTACCCCTATTTATAACCTTCCCCTAACTAATTCTGTCTGACCACTTTCCCCTCAACAGAATTCGGTTTCCCTTTCCTGCCAGCCCCAGCCCAGATCCAATTGCTTCCAATTTTTTTTTTAATTAATCCACTCAAATTAAACTACAGCCCATATTCTAATTGGCGATAGTCCGTGTCCAACAACAGCCCAAGTCCAAAACAAAAATGTTAAACCATTAGCCCCGGCCCAAATCCAAAGACACATGTTGGTACAGTGGGGACAGTACGTGGTCGATCTAACGGCCGGGACAACCCGTTAAGTGGGACCCAGATCGTTACAGAGATAGGATCAAATTTTGGGAAACTTCTTCTCCTTTGTTCCAAGGTAGGGGCTGGATAAGCTTTATCTCTTTTAGATGTTTTTTCTTCTCCATTATTTTTATTGCTACCATTTTGCTATTTTCGAAAAATTGTATTAGAAAATTTCATAAGACTTCATCCGGCTTAAAACTTAAAAGTGAAATCTGTGTGAGTTTTGTGGTGGGAGAAAGAAGATTGGAACTTGGGTGTTGCCATGTTACGGTGTTTGGTGAATTTATATTTAGGAAGGGCTAGAGAATTGATTTCCATTTGGATCCAACACTTGATTTCTTTAATTTTTAGAGCCCTTTGCAAGAGATCTGTTCTTGAGAAATTCTTGACTGAGTTTTGCTTGCAATTTAATATTCTTGGTTTTTGAGGCTTTTCAATAGATTTGGTGATTATTCTGATTGCATTTGGTTGATTTTAGTGGATGTTCTAGATTTAGTCTGTTCTACTGTGGTTTTGGTTGTGCTCTCATGAGCCATCTATTTTTGTTTGAAGGGGTGTTATAAATTTTTATAGTTTGGGATTTTGTTGTGAACTTGAGGTTATTCATAGAGAAATTTATGGGTTTTGATTAATCTGGGAATTCAGTTGATAAAGAAAGTGGTGCTTATAAATTTATAGCTATTGGTTATTGGATTCTAAGTGTGTTTCTTGGAGAAGTTATAATGCATACTTTTGTTGATTGATAGTATCATATTCGATTTTAAGTTAGGATTATTAGGTAGGTCATGCTGCATTTGTAGTAGAAGATAAGATTTTTCACTTTTAAGACTTGTCCTAAATGTTGGAACTTTTAATTAGTAAATGAACTTTATGTTTCAAAACATCGTCGGGAATAACTTCAAATTAAAAGAATTTGACTTTGATATTATACATAAATTTATTATATTGACTTTTAAATTTTTTGCCTGTGTGCCTAAAATTCCTGGATCCGCCCGTGTTAGTTCTTATCCTGATGTCTGTGATGTAACTCAATTTTACTAACTCTCTCTCTCTCTCTTGGTCTTTATTTTATCAGTTTGCTTGCTGTGTCGCTTTGTAGTTCCTGTTCCTATGCTAGCATCAATCACCACAAAATGTTTAAGTCTCCCTCCTGTCCTTTCCATTCCGTTTCATATTAAGTGCCTGATTGTCCTTTAGCATTATATATTAATGTGACATTGCATTGACGATAAAGCTATAGTATGGTGTTTGTTGAATTGGTACATTGCAATTTAGAGTAGGATTCCGTATTTTGTCTTCAGTGTAACTAGTTATGCTTGTTAATTTCAGGTAATGGCAAGCAATGACCGAGTGCCCCCTCCCCACCTCCGGCGCCCTCTTCCTGGCCGGAGCATGGTCCATCCTGATCCTTATGGTCCTCCAATTCATCCTCCACCTGGTGGTTTCCCTCTAGAAATGTTGCCTCCTGAAGTTATGGAACAAAAGCTTACTGCACAACATGTTGAGATGGACAAACTTGCGAATGAAAATCAGAGGCTTGCCACTACCCATAGAACTCTTAGACAAGATCTTGCTACTGCTAAGCATGAGTTGCAGTTTGTACATGCTCACATTGCTGATATGAAGGCTGAGAAAGAACAACACACAAGAAGATTAATGGATAAAATTGCGAGGATGGAGGCTGAACTTCAAGCTGCAGAGTCCATCAAAACAGAGTTGCAGCAAGCACATACTGAAGCTAAGGGCTTGTTTGCTGCAAGGCAGGAACTAATTTCCCAAGCACAACAAGTGACACGCGATCTTCAGATGGCTCACTCTGAGGCACAGCAGATTCCTGCTTTAATGTCTGAACTTGAGAGCCTGAGACAGGAGTACCAGCATTGCAGGTAGTTATTCCTGTTATCTGGTTGGAACAGGAAGCAAACCCCAAATAAAATTCTATTCATTGTCTGAAAAAAGTAAGAAAAAATTCTAAGCAGAGAAGAATGAGGAATTAGTATATTCCAGCTAAAAAGAAAGTTTAGATGTAATCACTGTTAATAGAATTTTGTATATTATTAACTTAGGCTCTCTGATATGCCCATTTTTGTGCTTTTTTAGTCGTACGGTCAATAATAAAATTATTTGAATTTAATAACTAGTTGATTAAAAAGCTTGTTAGATGTATGAATGGTAAATTTCTTTTTATCAAAGTTAATTTAACTTAACAAGTAACGTATTTGATGTTTTCTTAAACTAAAAGTTGGCTTTGCAATTGAACTTTCTGATGATTTTTGGGCTTTATCTATGCAGGGCTACGTACGACTATGAGAAGAAATTATACAGTGACCATCTTGAGTCGCTTCAGGTGATGGAGAAGAACTATATGGCAATGTCTAGAGAAGTGGATAAGCTTAGAGCAGAGTTAACTAATTCCACAAACTTTGACCCGCGAACAGGTATTCGGGGTTGGTTTTGTTTTGATTATTTTGATCTGATATTTGATGATCAATTGTCAGAAGTGATTAAAAAAAAAAAACTTCTGAACATTGTGAATAGAAGTATGTAATCAATATTTGTTTGACTAAATCTTTTACACAAGTTTTTTGATTACCAAGCATCTAAACCAAATGTAGCTTTAGTTCTTTCAGATTTATTTCCTTCCTGCATGGGAAACATTTTTGTCTTGCAATCTTTTTTACTTTTTGGTAACTGATGTCATGATGCAAATGCAGGAGTGCCATATGGTGGCTCAGCTGGTTACAGTGGGGGTGTTCCCATGAGCAACTATGCTACATATGATGGCTATGGCTTACCACAGGTGTATATAATCTGCTTGCTGATGTGAATTAGTTACATGTAACTTAACAAAGCAAAATTTAAAGCTCTGGTGCAATATTTCCAGGTTGAACTGAAGAAGTATCTGATTTTGAATCCTGCAAGTCTTCACATGAACACCCCACCCCCCACCGCCAACGCACTTTTTCGCTTTTATGGGTGTGGTAAAATAAGTTCATGAAGTATCCAATTATCTTTTCCCGTCCATTTCCCCAATCTTAGTCATTGTGTGAAAATGTTTTGAGATGAAATTGGTGACCTACATGAAGCTAAGTTCTAGAATTTTGAGTTGGTTTCTTTTAGTTATAATCAAAATTCAGAACTGCAATAGTTGGTTATTTTTTGTGTTTCTTATAATAAACCATTTTGCCATAGGTCAAATTTCGATCCTGTTCCCATTTCCATATCTGCAAACTGCAGTGATTTTAGCCTATGCTGTAAGTAACTTGAAATAGGACAATTCCCTTAGCCGTAACTTGTGGACGCATATAGAAATACTCTGGCTTGTTTTAGTTGAATTTTATGAACTGGCCTGGTCTTAGCATTTTGATATCTAAGGATTCTTAAAATTTAATGTTATCAATTGCTAGTGCATTCTGAAATTTTTGAGTACTACACTTGCCTTCATATCATGTAATGTACATATACCACACAGAATCTTATTGATGCCGCAAGGCTGGTTTCTGAACATGAAACAGTACTTTCATGACATTAGAAAAGAAAGTCAAATCATCATGGTTGATTTGATTTCCTAGCATTGAGTTTCAAGAAGCAAAACTTTATGTCGCTTCCGATGACCCTGATTCTGTTTTCTTCTCTACACAGGAGGGCCAAAACCCAGTTTTAGGAGGGGGTACTGGTGCTGGAGCTACTGGCACTGGGAGTGGAGCACGTGATTCTGGCACTGGGGTTACTTCTCCACATGTTGTAGCTCAATCTGCACCTGGTGGTTTGGGGGTAACATCAAAAATGCCCGGCTACGATGCACAGAGAGGACCTACTGGACCCGGCTACGATGCACAGAGAGGACCAACTGGTCCCGGCTACGAAGCACAGAGAGTACCAACTGGTCCCGGCTACGATGTAGAGAGAGTATCAACTGTACCCAATTACAATGCACAGAGAGGACCAACTGGACCCGGTTACGATCCGCAGAGAGGACCTGTTGGTGCCTCTGCTTATGAAATGCAGAGAGGACCTAAGCAAGACACTCAGAAGGGACCAGCGTATGATGGTCAAAGACCGCCACCTACTTATGATTTTAGAAGAGATTCAGGAAATGACGTGCAACGGGGATCTAACTATGATCAGCAGAAAGCTGCTGGCTACGATCCATTGTCTCGAGGTGCTGTCGGGCCCCAAGGACAGGTACCTATTGACAATATACATCATGCATCAGCACCACCACCTCCTACTCGTCCCAGTGGTGGATATGAGGCACCCGGACGAGGTGGAAACCCCGTTCACAGATGAGTTCAGGACCCTCTCAACTTCATTGTTGTCTGAAATTTCTTCGTGGAATGCCTCGAGTAATTCACCTTGCATTTTACTTCATTCTTCATATCCCTCGAATTTTCTCTTTTTCATCAGGGGACGTCTGTAGTGAAGTTCTGACATGAAAGTATAACAAAAGTAGTTATTAACTTATTGTGCAAGTCAAACTTTTAGAAAGCAAAATGTGGAATGCAGCTCATGCTTTGTTGGAAGAGCCTATCCCCCAACAAATTGTAGTGTTCATGTTTAGCCTATGATCATTTATACTTTATGAACATGTGCATGTTCTTATTTTTGATCTGCTTCTGCAGTATTTTTCTGAGTTTGTTCTAGTTTTAATTAATAGATTTTTGGGTATATTTAGTTGTTCCAGGATTGTTTCGATCTTGTTCCCTTTGATTGGGAAATGCATGCAAGGAAAATGTCGAAAATCCAATCCAATAATAATTGCTGAACAACTAAGGGTTTGTTCTCTTTGTTGTTTTCAGGCTATTTTTAGTTTTCAGTTTTCGAAAATATTGAAAATACTTTTGCTTACCTATTTTGATAAACGAATTTTCAAAAACGAGTTTAAAATTTACAAAGAAAACGGAAAATGTCAAAAAAAAAAGTCGTTTTGGTTGTTTTCAATTAAAATTAAGTCAAAACTTTATTTTTTTTAATTTTTGAAAATAATTTTTCAAAATAACAAAAAGAACGAGTTTTCAACAATTTTAAAATGGACTGACACTCAAAACACAAAATCTAAAATAAATTCAAAGCTCGAACTTTTGAGATTTCTGGGTTTTTCCATTTCACACTGGCCATTTATTGCTTTATTGGCATTTGGAATGATATAATAAACTAGATTTTAATTTTCTTCTTTACTGTTTTATAATACAACTAGTTAGAAGCAACGTGCAATGCACGTTTGCTTAGTTGATGTTATGTTTATTTGGTTGGGAAGATTTGTCTTGTGAAAAAAGATGTAAGTAACTGTTGATGTATTTGATAAATAATTGCNTGAAAGTGGACATTTTTTTCACAATTTTGCCCCTATGTTTTGGAGATGAGTTACGCTACACGAATAGGGCCACATCGTTTAGATTTATTCTTTCTAGATATCTGTTTAATTCAATTAGCCAATAGCATTAATATTATTTCTTTGACCTACAACTACGTACTGTGTTTCCCTTTCTTTGACCTTTTTATATTATATCTTTAGGGACCCACAAAAATAATTTGTTTCTTTTTCCATGGAAACATGTAAATGCTACGGTTTTTGTTATTTATGTTTAGGAAACCCTCCGTCAAACTCAAAACAAGTTTTCTAGTTTTCTTTTTTAATAGATTTACATTTTGACTGTGATTAAGAATTAAACTTTGTTGTGGATTTCAATTAAGAGTTAACTTAATTACAACATTATTAATTAATTAAATCTAAAATAAATTATAGCCTTTAACTCTAATCCTATAAAATTAAACTACTATCATCTCTTAAATCATTGTGAAAATGCTCGTCTTTATATGCCACTGGTTGGAAGCAACGTGCAATGCACGTTTGCTTAGTTGATGTTATGTTTATTTGGTTGAGAAGAAATCTCTTATTAATAAAGATGTTTGTAACCGTTGATGTGATGTATAAATAATTGCACGTGATATATGAAAAGAAGAGCATTAATAGAATGTATGGAATGATCCTTTCAAGAAACATAGTTGAATAGTTTTATGAATGGTTTTTGAGATAATTTTGTTTCTAAGATGACGATCCAGCATTTTCGTCGTCTTGCACTGTTTCAACAGAGAGGACATTGAAGTTCTTGTATTTTTTCTGATTCAGTTTTTCTGGATCTACAAAAAGTTGAAGGTTCCAGAATTTGTCGGATAATTTCTCTGCGACGCTTTTAACATATGGTTGATTTTCCTGCAAAATGAATTTTGGATAGGTTTACATAATTAATATAAAACCAATTTAAATATATTTTAAATAACTGTTTGTAATGTAATTGAAATTTTGAAGAGAAATTAAAGAGTTACCTCTCCAGCATGTTCCATCAATTGTTCTGCTGAACAACCAAGTGTCTGTTCTGCTACTTACCCAAACAAAGTAGCAGCAATATTTCCAGTATTATCGTCAAGCTCAACATATGCTCTAGCACTTTAAATGCGTCGAATATATTAATTAGAATTTGAATGTCGTTAAATTATAAATGAAATAAAACATGAATTTTGAACGAAAATTGTGAGATACACACCGCGGTTTGCTGATCCCTTGGCTCTTGCAATATATGCAAACGAAGGTTTCATTGTATTTATATCCAGTTCCTCTATTACAGGCAACGCATGACATGTAATAAAATACTTGGGCAAACTCAATCACCTTTATCTTCGCCTTTATCCAGATTTTTGCTTTCTATATTAAATCATAATTAATTTTTAGAATGAATGTTTGTGTAAATATTATGATGAATTACCAATAAAATAATATTTACCTCTGTGGGTTGTAAACTCTTAATAAAATCTGCGATATCGCAAATCTTCACAACTTCTCGAATTCCAACAGATGAAAGTGGTGTAGATGTGTATGTCAAGGATCTTGCAATGATAGTTTTGATTATCGAATCATTGTTCTCCGCCCTTAGAATTCAACAAAAAAGAAGAATAATGCATGGAAATGAAATATACATGTAAATTACATACATCACATAATTATGTCTAATATTAATGCATTAATATCTAATTTTTAATTGATGAGAATTACCATTGCTTCATTGCAGATGCCTGAGGAAGAACAGGATTGATTATAAAGGTACTTGACGGACGTGATGAAAGAGACAGTCCTTTGTTGAAATTGAGATCGATTTTAGCGCAAGTATATGTAGTATGGAAGAATATGTAACATTTGTTATTATTATAAATACCGTTATATGAGCCAACAGATATTTTTGTTCCAAGTATTATTGGCTTATCTTCAATAAGATCTGATATTTTCTGACATTCGTCTTCGACAAATCGACCCCACATGGTCAAACATATGGGGTTCAAGCTACAAAATTGAAATTATTAAAAGAATTAATAAAGTATTCCTGAATTAATATAGGAATTAGAATTTGAAGGGAATGTGAAGTTATAAGAATTTTTTACCTTTCGTCGATAACATATATCTCTTGAATTGTTGTTGGTCCAAATGTTGTCGTTACCTCTTTAGTTGGCTTAATTTTTATTGCAACAGCTAAAATAGCTAAATATTGAAATATGAAATGTTAATTTATATTGATAATAAATTTGTAATAAAATTTAAATTGAATTACCTATTTCTTCAGTCGACCCTCTATGAGTCTCTAAATCCTTGAATGGGACGATCTCATATTTCGGTGCATCTATTTGCTGTTCGTTCCGTGGAACATCTTCTATTATTGTTTTTGAGTTCAGAATCCACTGATATTTGTATTCTCCAATTTTGTTTTCTTTCTGTGGAACAGCTTCTATTATTGTTTTTGAGTTCAGAATCCACTGATATTTGTATTCTCCAATTTTGTTCATCGGATCCACTGGTTTGACATATGCATTGATGATATAATATGAGTGTAAAATTTGTAAAGTGTCGGTCCGGGGGTTAATGTCAGAGCCAAACATTGCCGCCTGCACTCGATTTCCCTGTACGAAGAATAAAAGTAATTGTGATTAATATTGTATTATGTAAAGTTATGTGGATTGTTTTTCTGTACTAAATTTTGTAAATAATTTATGTATCATTTATTTATTTTTACACAAAATATGTTGTAAAAAGAGAGTTAAATTAATACAACGTAGTTAATGTTTTTTATATGATATGATATAATTTAAGAGCCTCTAATTTGAAAGGATATTGATTATTGTAAACAAAATATAGGGTAACGAATATCATACCTGTTGATCAATTAATGTCAAATTTTGGTACTTCACCGTTGTGCGTGGGCTTGTTCGCTTATGTGACTTCTCCGCAACGATCATCTTAATCTTCCAGTTTTTTGTATTCGGAGTGATATCCTTTATTGATGTGTGCACCGTCCACATTTTTTCTCTTTTCTAATAAAGAAATATTAGATGTGTAAGTGTAACAGATCTTAGTTTAAATTCATAAACTACTAAAACAATTGATGAAGACTTTGAATTAAATTACTGAATATTAGACATATGGAGAAAAATATTGTAATACATAATAAATCGAAAGTATACAATTAAATCTAGTTACCTGAATAACATTAATTCAAACATGATAATGTAAGCAATTCTGTGAACACAATATTTTTTGTGGTGTTGTTTTCACGTTGTTCAGTAGACAGTGGTCGTATTAGAACCCTCACCGTAGATGCTGTCTTTGCCCTCGATAAAGCCACATATAATTGACCATGTGAAAAAACTGGTTGAGGTAAATAAATCCCAACATAATCCAATGTCTGCCCTTGTGACTTATTTATAGTCATTGCAAAACTCAATCTTATGGGGAACTGAGTTCGTTTGAATGGGAAACCATTATTTTCTTCAACATTTGGTAGGAATGGTATCCTTGGAATGAACACTCTTTTTCCAATATGGTGTCCAACTGCAATTTCTGCATCTATGACATTTCGATCAAAAGCCCGACAAATCAAACGGCTTCCATTGCATAGTCCTTCTGAAGGATTAATGTTTCTAAGCAGCATGATGGGGCAGTTTTTCTTTAGTATATCAAAAGCCCGACAAATCAAACGGGTTCCATTGCATAGTCCTTCTGAAGGATTAATGTTTCTAAGCAGCATGATGGGGCAGTTTTTCTTTAGTAATAATTCATGTGGCGGAAGTCCGTTTGGGGTTAGAGTATTTAAGAAATCTTCCATAACTGATTGTTCAGATGCATCTGTTGTCTCATCGAAACTATAATATCGATGTATTTCTCCTGGGAATCTATGAATTAACAATGCATTTATTTCATCAACATAACCGTTCTTCGGTGTTAATATGACCCGATTCATCATAGA